TATATATAATAGACATTATGTTGTGTTACATTTGTTACATTATTGGTGGGTTTCAAAGGTAAAAAAATAAAATAAAATAAAAAACCAAAAATGAAAATAATAGTATTAATATAATATATAAGATGAAAAGTAAAAAAAGCAATGGAATTATGAGCCATTATTTCTAAAAAAAAATAAATAAAAAATCACATTCTGGCGGGTAATTCTTTTATATTTATACTTTTCTCTCATGCACTGAGGTAGTTTGTTTGGATCCTGGCTTCTTTCTTCAATCTGTCATTTTCTTCTGGTTCATATCTGCCTGTGGCTCTCTGAGCTGCAGGTTTCATTATGCTCCATATGAGCGAGTGTTTTGAGAGCAGGGCTGTGAGTGCTCGCGAAGATAAACTCAAGCACACTGGAGCTTTGTGCTCTGCGACTGTAAACTGATGCCTTTGTTCTCCCAGCGGTACATTGGCCTCTAGGTTACAGATTCTGCTGCGTTTACATCCAGACATCAGCTGGTGTGCTCAGATATAACCCTCGTTTGCGAAAGACCAGGGTCTCTACTGCAAAAACATGTCAGTTAATGAATTATAACAGCAACAGAGCTAGTTTTAGCAGCACGTGCCGCAGATATGAAGTGTGTGTGAAATAGGTTTCAGCTGCCAACAGCGTGTGCAGAACAGCCTTTATCCTTGATTTAATATAAAGACTTCCTAGCTGCCGGTGCCAATGACTTGACAGGCCTGCAAGTGGATTAGACCTGGTAGGATGATAATCTGGGTTAGGAACAGGGCGCAGTGTCACAGAAGATTTTCTGCCCTTCCTGTCTTGTTGTCTGATCCGTCACGACAATACAGACACTTTCATACTGATCGAACACCTGCTCTTTGTTGTAACAAGGACGCCATAAAATAAAGTGTAGTCAAATGCTGCTGACACGTCTCACTGATTCGGTGTAGGAATATATTTAGAATGATTTGTTTATTTGATGACCAATAATTTTTATTTACATTATTTTTTTATTTCCTCTAGCTTACTTTGTTCCAGGATTATTATAGTTAACTAAAACTGAAACTAAATTAAAACCATAAAAAACATTTATACTTTAAATAAAATAAACATGAAAATAAACAAGTGAAATCAAATAAAATATGAAAAACTTTTTATATTAGCTAGTAGCAAAGGCAAAACTAAAATAAAATTAATAACACATTTATTTATTTATATATA